GTAAACAAACTCCTACTTCTGGTGGTAACAAAACTCTTACTAAGATCATAAGATAAGATAATGATATGGGATGAGGGATAATATAAGCTGGTGGCGAGTTGGCGAGCATAGCTGTCGTGGCAAGATAAGGTTGGGCCCCTTGATGAGCTGTCGTGTGGGCCCCTCCTTACTGCTGCTGCCGGCGGCGGCGGTAAGCCTTTCCTACGAATGCATCCATAACACAGGCAGTGTTTCAAGGAGCTGAGTTTGCCAAAGAACTGACCTGTGAACAGCTCTTAATCGAAGGTGATTCAAAGCTGGTGATCCAGTGGTTAAAAGAGCCAGAAACAGCAGCCTGGTCCTATAAGGGGGTTTTACAAAGATTCAGATGGCTAACTACAAACATGTCTGTCCATTTCCAATGGGAAAGAAGATCTGCAAATGGGTTAGCAGACTCGCTAGCTAAATAAGGAGTGCGTCAGATGTTTTGGGCTTAAGCTGTAATTCTCTGTTTTGATCTGAGGCTGCATCTCGTGCCTCTTTTTGGGGACCTTCTCTGTGTATCTCTTATAATTCTATTAATAAAACTTCTCATTATTCGTTAAAATAAAAAAGGTAGTGATGCTTTGTGTGAACTTGATGTTTTTTTAATCTGCTTGTATGACCTCGATGTCACTAATATGTCAAGCTTYGTGTTGGCTGCGATTTTAGTATTTCTTTTTCCTGTTGTAACTAGTGCTTACCTGTATGAACAAATGATGTTTCGAGAGGTAATAACAGCCTACACACAGGAAGGTGGATATGTATTATTGTTTTGCTTCCAGAATTTTCCATGCTTTCAATGGACTTTTCTCTAAGGCACATACTCTTGCTTGATATGGTTGACATTTGAGTAAATCTGTCTTAAATGATCTATATGAATTGCCTCTTGCAGCCTGTTTCATGGTTGAGCTTTCTCTTGCTGATTACGACTGGGGCAGGACTTGTATTTTATTATGACAAGGAGAAGAAGCGGCACATTGAAGGTAGATTACTACGGTGAGTAGGATTTGTAGGAAAAGTCCAAGGTTTTTAGAGTGTTAAAGTCTCATGTAATTTGGGGCCTTACTTAATGATCCCTTTGAAAAGTCAAATCTTATGACTTGGGTGTGTTCACAGATGAAATTCTAATTACATGGACTTGTACCTTTTTATCTTTGATATTTTATTATATAATTCAGCCTGATTCAAGTTGTGATATAGAAATCTCTCCTTGATTTGTAAACTGTAATTAGTTAAATAGGTTGGGTTATCCTTGTAATGGGTTGCATTTGAAACTATTATTGTGGGGCTTCCTTTTGTTCTTAATTATCTTCATCAAAGGGGGGTTTCTGGGCTCAGGCTATTGGTACACCCAATATGCACGAACATGTGTATCAAGTGTTTTGATACTAAATTTTGATGGTAGTAGCATGGGGAATCCAGGGCCCTCGGGTATTGGGGGGGGGGTATTAAGAGATGAGAACAGTAATATAATAGSTTTGTTCTCTAGCCCAATTGGAGTGGGGGACTCTGAGGGCTGAGGTGTTAGCAGCTTTGGAAGGGGTACAAAGGGCTAAAGACCTAAATGTCAAGAAGCTGATTGTAGAGGGAGATTCTGTGGTTGCAGTGAATTGGCTAAAAGAAGACAATTCTAAGCTTTGGAGTTACAGTAATGAAAAGAGAAAATTCAAATGGCTGATCAAGAATGTGGAAATTCAGTGTACTTGGGTAAAGAGAAATGCAAACTCCTTTGCTGATGGATTGGCTAGGCAAGGTGTGAATAGGGTTTCTGGGTTCTGGGCTCAGTTGTAATTGTTTTGTTATTTTCAGTTTGGGTGCCTACCCAATTTCTGGGGAGTTAAGATACTTTAGCTCCTCTTTTTTGTAAGTTTATTCCTATTTAATGAAATCTGTTGTTATTGATAAAAAAAAGCCTTTCGGTCAGCCAAAGATACAATGCGATATGCCTGGTACAA